AAAAATTTAAAATTTTATTAAAAATTTAAAATTAACTTTTAAATATATTTTTAACTAAAATAGAAAAAGTTTTAAATATATAATTTATTCAAATTTTATTTAAAAATTATTTTTAAAAGTTAATTTTTTAAATTTTAAAACAAATTCAAACCTTCAATCATTCTGGAGAGAGAAAGTAATGTTTTATAGAGCAACACGTACAGAAAGGCCACGTGAAAACAATGAATGCAACTTTGGCTGGCGCTATTGGGTCTGACATTGGACCATGTGCTTCGTATTCATAATTCACGTCCTTTTAAAGCAGTTACTGTCATGGATATGAATTAAAGCAAAGGCTGATTTCCTACGTCATTTCAATGGTTAATTATACGAAGGAGGTTTGGCAGCTTTGTTAAAGGCAGACACTGAGTAACGTACAATCACGGACTTTCCAATTATCATGCCGAGTTTGTCAAAGATACGAACGAAAACAAAAGTTATTTTATCCACATTTCGTTCTTAAGCTATTTTAACAGTAATTTTCTCAAAAGAAAATTGACAAAAGTTGGGTACTAATTTTACGCAACACTTCTTAAGTCCCAGACATTTTGCTAATAATTTAAATATTTATGATAAATTTTGGTGATCAATAAAAGAAAAAGTGATTTTTAAGCTTTTTTTTTTATTTCTATAACAGTTTATCTAGTATAAGAATTAAACTATTTATTAAAACAAATATATAGTATCGACTGAAAAATTAATGATATATTACTATTATTTAACCACAAATTAACCCGGTCAGACCTTAGCGGTGCTCTCCTTTTCGACAGTCTTAAATGTTTTCTGTAAGATTACCACCATAGAAATTGACACTCCTTAGCTATGTAACCCAAACAGCATCAGGATTTGCTAATGTCAAAAAACTACAACCATGGTACATAACACATGTCTAGCTAGATTCATAAAAATTCTAGTTGCAACGTCACGTTTTATGAATGAAGTTACATATATCAAGTTCAAATATATTCCTCGACACTACAAAACCAAGCCAGCAAAAGAAAGAATGTCTAGAGGCTACAATGTATTTAAATATTTTAATTAAAATAAATAGATTAAATTAACA